GGCGACATCCCATAGACGTACTATTACCATGCTGGGCCAGGCCCCGTCTCTGCGGGCCCTCGCGGGCCCCTGGACCACCTCTGAGCCGCTGCTCTCCGCCTGTCAGCAGTCTGTCGGATCAGAAGTGGCACACGTGTCCGGTCCAGAGACCAGAGGAAGCCTCCAGTCTTGCAGAGATGCTAGAATATTGAGCTGTAGCTAGAAATTGTCATTTAGTGTCTTTGTTCTGAGTGTGATAGAATTTTAAGATGATAGTGTTTTGGGTTGATCAAGTTTCTTGGGCTCCTCAACTTGAAAACGGGGCCCAGGTCTGCTGAGGAGCCTGCTTTCCTGCCTGCTGGTGTTCTGGTTTCAAAAGTACCTGTGCTAACCTGGCTTTTTCTGCTCTTTGAGGTCCTTAAAAATGGGGAACACCAGCAGCGAGCGGGCCGGACTGGAGCGTCATGGGCATAAGGCACCCCGAGGTGACAGCTCAGCAGGAGCCATGGGTACGAAAGAGGGTGATCGGCCAAAAATCTTAATGGACAGTCCTGAAGATACAGACTTGTTCCACGCCGAGGAAATGAAGGTATTGCTGGGTTGTTCTTGTCTGCTGACATCCCCAGCTTGGGAGTGCCGTCCACGCTGTGCAGTTAGCCACCTGCAGCAGTGCTGGCTTGGAGTTTACGCAAGAAACTATCTCCCTTGCTTCGCGTGCTAGGAAGAGATATTGCACTGACGTTCCAGCAGATAGATATAATGAGTGTAATGTCATGGTTTCCAGCAAGAATTAACTGTAGAAAAACGAAAATGTGACTGGCTTAAAGCTCTTCCCCAGTTCTAAGTACAGGGCCCCGGCTTCCTTCGGAGCATTAATGTTCTTGCAGTCACCAGTGGCATGTGACCTGTCTGTTATTTTCCATATTAAAAGATCTGTTAACTGTTAAAGATCTGTTAACTCAGGATCAAGTGGGTTGTTAGAAACACCTTGCTGTGTGCCGTGTTTCGTAAGAACATGTAACAAAATTGCACTTAGATTTTGGCTGTTGGACAGAGCTGTTTCCTATAGACAACTCGTAATCTCTCGGCCGACTACAAATTTTGTGCCTGCGATATTTGCATCATCTGAATGCTTCTTAAGTGTATTTCTTCTTGATTATTTTTCTCCCTCTTCTCGTATCTGTGTATTTTGAAAACTTGTGAGCTCAAGTTATTTCTTTTTAACCTAATTTAGGCTGGAAGGATGGGGATTATTTTGCCTTCCGCTCTTTCTGCAAGTTTGGAAGGCTGTAACGTCTTTGCAGAATTTGTGCAAATGAACTTGTGAACTGCACCTAGAAATGCACGGTTTTAAATCGCCGTCTGACAAAAACTACTTGTAGGCTTGTACCTTAGATAACTGAATTAAAATTAGAAAAATGCCTTCAGTGAATATAGGTTGTCTAAATCTGCCAGGAAAGAATTCCTTTTAATGAAGACCTTGTGCTTGTAGGCTCCGTTGGAGAAAGAAGAATTCCTAGCTTGGCAACAAGATCTGGAAGTGAACGATAAAACTCCCACTCAAGCTCGACCAACGGTCTTTCGCTGGACTGGAGGCGGGAAGGAAGTTTATTTATCTGGGTCCTTCAACAACTGGAGCAAAATTCCTCTGACAAGGAGGTAACAAACTGCTGCTGCTGTCTCGGCGATGTTCCCCGTGGACTGGGAGTGCTTGGTGCAGTGAGAAAGGTGACGGGTTGGTCTTGTGCTTGGCTTTACCGCTTGCCTGCTCCTCTGCTCAGGCGCTTGATGAGAATCTGACGTGTTGGTTCTTGGGTGGCACAGGATGGAGGTTGAGCTGTGTGTCAGTTTTGAAGGAGTGGTTTGTTCGCTCGGCACCACGCACGAATGACCTGAAACAATCCTTGCTGTGCGCTCTCCTGCCTGGGGTAGAGTCAGGGTATGTAAGGTGACGCTGGTTTTAAGCGTCGTG